CAATGGGGCATACAGAGTTCTCTTTAAGAACTCCAGCAAAATAGCTTAACAGACAAGCAAACTAAGAGAATTTTTTTTTCTATAAAGGAGGTTCACTCAAGCTCAAAGTAGCTATATTTTGAAATGTTTCCATCTTTGTTCTTAACACTTACATCTTTTCTTCCCCCCTCGATAACTCCTCAGGTCCTCGTCCATATATATATTTAACATATCAATCATAAATACCTTCCCCTCTGCCTAGGCATTTTCCACACATGATCACCATTTTGAGTGTATATGTAACATTCCACCCAGTGCTTGTACTCCCACCATTCACAAATTACACTTTCAATCCTTCAGTTACTGCTGCAATGATCAGCCTTACAAAGATTTTCTGCTTTTCAGTTTATTTAAGGACAAATATCCAGAAATGCAACTTGTGGTGTAAAGGTCACAAATTCCAAAAATTTCTATAGCTCTTTACACAAACTGTCAAGCTATTTAAAAAGAGTACCTTTTTGGCATCCAGCAGCATCTGCAACTCATGTTTGCTGCCCAAGTATCTTTAATAGGAATATAAGAACACCAATCCCTCCAACCCAAATTCAAAGCATCTAAATAACTTCCCACATTAAATGTTTTCTCATCCCACTGTCCACCTTTTGGCCTAAGCAAACCAAGTCTCTCACAGAGCTCATAAAGTGTCTAACTTTCTTAAAACCCTTGAAAGGAATGCTGTGAATCCTCTGTGCACTCTAGCATCTCTACAACTTTGTGTAAGCCATCCTGATTGCAAAGCCTTCCTCCTTTTCTCTACCTCAGATCACAGAGCTCTTAATCAGACAGCAACTCGTCTATTCCTGCAGATTTTGGAAGAGAGATACCTGTGGCCACAGCATAAAGTGTCCCTTAGGTCTGAGGCTACACTATATCCCCCATACCTCCACATAAATAAAGCCACCATTCTGCAAAGAACTGCCCAAAGGATCCTCCAGCGTTTTTACTGTCAGGCAAAGTCCTGTCTTTCCAGGTCTCAGGTCTCTATACTTACCAGGGGAAGTTCCCTCACCCTGCTCCAGCAAAGGAAACCTTTCTAAGCTCCCAACAAGCATTCTTTAAGCTCCCTAGAGAATATACAACTCCTCCAAATGCATTCTATAAAGTCCCTACCAAAATTGCTCACAGATGCAGACTTCTGACACCTGAACCCAGAAGTGGGGCCCAACTCACTTGTTGCACATCAGCAGCACCTCAAGCTCCTTGACATTGTGGACTAGGAACTTCCGGAAGCCACTGGGCAGCATGTGCTTTGTTTTCTTGTTGCTCCCGTAACCAATGTTGGGCATCAAAATCTGGCCCTTGAATCTTCTGCGCACCCTATTGTCAATGCCTCTGGGTTTCCGCCAGTTGCGCTGAAATAAACACAGGAGGGTTAGTGCCTTTGCCAACACCTCTTCCTTTTAGAGGAAAAAAGGGGGACCCAATGAAAAGGAAACATGCCCCAACAGTAGCTGTCGTTGGGTTACAGTTCACCTTTATTTGGTGGAGAAAAATAGGGGCTCCTGCCTTTGAGCACCAGGAATATAGACTCACATCCACACTCCTAAATAAAGGAAAAACAAACTACAGACTGATAGAATGTGAGGGGATTGTGTATACAGTAAGGTAAAGAGTGAAGAGCATGGGTTCTAGCACTGCACTCAAGATACAAGTTTTCTCATCATAAAATACGGATAATCTACTTCTCATAACCTCTTAAGGCCACCTAAAATGATACAAGCCTCTAGACACGTCAAAACAGCCAAACGTCCAATTCATACTATAATCAAGTGACTGAATGCCAATAAGGTGTACTCAGACCTAAGTTTCTAGAGAGCTCTTCCACTAACTAGACTGGTTCATCTGCCAAATGTGATCTTCTGACCAGGTGATACCATAAATCCAACAGCCCATTTAGGGGCTCCTTTCTCCACCCCAACAAACACTTCCATCCCAGGACCACATATACCTTAATTTTGACATATCGGTCTGACTGGTGCCGGATGAACTTCTTGGTCCTCTTTTTAACGATCTTGGGCTTCACCAGAGGTCTGAGGGCAGCCATGATGCCTTCAAGAAAGAAGCAGAGATGGTGACAGAGTCCTAGAAGGAAGCTTTCCTGCTCAGGCCTTGAACATTGTTGCAGAGTGTCTTCCAATCTCCAGCTACTGAGCAAACTGGGAATGGAATGGGTACCTCTGCCAGGCTTGCTTTCCCTCCCGTTTCCGAAGCTGGCAGAATACGAACCACTCTCCAGACGCGATCCTGGGAGGTCAGCAGTCACTTCATCCACTGAAGAAAAAAAGCACGCTAACAGCTAATCTAAAACAAATGGGGGCGCCCGGGCGGCTCAGTCGGTGGAGCATCCGACTTCAGCTCAGGTCATGATCTCACACTCCGCGAGTTCGAGCCACACGTTGGGCTCTTGTGCTGACAGCTCGGAGCCTGGAGCCTGCTTCAGATTCTGTGTCTCCCTCCCTCTCTGCCCCTCCCCTGCTCATGCTCAGTCTCAAAAATAAATCAAAACATTAAAAAAATAAAACAAATGGACCCCCAAAAGTTCTCAGCTTGCACAGGGGAGCAAATCCCACACCTGGCGCCCCAAACCCCAGACAGTCCAATTTCCTTTTCGTTAGGCAGAACTTGGACAATCCACAAGAACCTGAGCCTTAGTTGTTTTCCCACCTGTAAAATGGAAAGGATACTGCACGTTGAATGCTTGCAGTGACTGGAGGTAGAGAAACCTGTTATTTCCCCTAGAGTGCTGCTGCTCTACAATTCTCTCACAACAGACCTATAAAACCATAACGTACTGATGCTTCTAGGCCTTGGAACTTCCTGTTCTACCTGAAGATCATCCGAGGACCGGCCTTCCCGATTACCCTAGTTTTTTTTCCCTAATACAACACCCTTTTTGTTCTCTTCGCTGCTTCTATTCCTTTGTTCAGCACACGGTACTCCGTGAACTTTGTGTTCGATAAAGGAACGCACCTCCGCCCGAAACATTATTTCCTCGCAGACAAGGACGCAGTTTTATATTCTCAGAGATCCTTCGTTAACTGAACCGATCGACTAGCAGCAATCGTTTTGTTTTGGCGGTCTGGCCGCAGCAGCAACCCCAAGACCAGAACCGCAGAGGAGGGAGCGTCGGTCGGCGTGAACAAAATACACGCGGAAACACAACGCTGACCAAAACTGGAATACTCCTGCCCTCGGACTGGAAACTTCTGGTGGCTTCACAGTCCCTACAAGCCCGCGCTGCCTAGACCCGAAACGGCGACCTTCACTCCCAGGCCTCAAACAAGCGGTCAGCAACGCTGAGAGACACCAGGCGGCCTCCGTAGGGCGGCCAAGTGGCCCTGGGAAGCAAACCTCCATCATCGGCTGGGCCGCTTCGTTCGGTTCCTGTACGTGCTCCAGCCAACCGACAAGGACAAAGCCCACCAAGACGAGTGCTCGGAAGGGCAGGCCTCCTCACCACGAAGCGACAATACCAGATGAAGACCGCAGAGATGCGGATGGCCAACGATTAAAACTCACCGAGTTACAGATGGCCGCCACCTCCGCAGGCAGCGCCGAGGAAGAGAGTGGAAGGTCGCGCGCGAAGGCTGATGGGACGTAACTTCTGGGTCCTGTCAGGGAAAAAAGAGTACTTCCTGCGCTTGGTCCCTCAAAGGAAAGAAAGACATTTCAGAGAAATACTGAAAAAAAGTCGAGAATACATGTGTTTTAATATATATTAATATGTAGAAGTACTGCTGGGAATTTTTCATACCTGACGTAGGACTACGTAGAATATTTGGAATTCTTTCTGAGCTTTTAAGACCTGGTGGGGGGGCATCCACTTCCGCCAGAAATTGAAGCCGTTCTTCCGGAGAACAATCCAGTTTTTAGATTATTTCCGCCCGCGTTTCTTCTGCTATTAAGTGCGCCTCTTGGTGGCCAGGAGGGAACAAAACAGTCTTCCTAATACTTCCCTCACGTGAATTTATAGGGTAAGATAGGAACGATACCCTAACAGCTATCATTCCATGGGTTTCACGATCCTTCCCACAATTCTGCAAGGTAGTTCTATTTTTTCCCCATTTTGCCTATGTAGAAAGCGACGTTTGGGGATTTGACTCCAAAATCCACACTTCTAATCATTCAGCTAACCTGCCTAGTTTTAAATAGTTGTTGATGGTTTTGTTTTGCTTAGATTTTGTATTTAAGATTATTGTAAAAAAAAAAATCAAATTTCAGGATGAAAAAATTGTGCATTGATTCCACAATTTGAACACAATACAGATGTCATCGCTGATCTTGATAGTAGTTCCAGGGGCCAGATGGGGACAGAAGCTACACTGGATTGTGTTGTTGACAGGATGAGAAGTGAGAAGGGAAGAGTGTTGACAACTCCTTCCTGAGATTTTGACTGTGAAGGGTAGGAGTTTGAAGAGACCCAGAGGAGCGAAATGTGAAATGTCTTGTCTAAGGTCGCACAGCTCACAAGTGATAAGGTTGAGACTGGAACCCTATTGTGCCTGTGACTACACCACACCTCATGAATCCTGCTTAGCCAGCCGGCTCTGGGAAGTCAGATGGGATGCAGAGAATGAAAGCATTGTGCTAACAGCAGCCCACATTATGTGTGTTGTGAAGGGAGGAGGTCTTGATGGGGTCAGGTGGGTTAATCAAGCAGAAGGCTCAGGAAACAGAGAGCATGCCTCTAACAGTGAAAGATGCAAGAGATTTGGAAGCAGTAACCAAAAAGGCTCAGTCTTTGGGGGACGAGAGACCGGCTGTGACTGTTTCCACAGAGAAGGGCACAGGGTACCCGCACTGCCTGCTGCTTTCCCATGAGCACTGAGATCCCAGGACAAGATGCTGCAGGTGCCAGGCAAGCATACCTGCAGTAGTGCCCTGGGCTCAGAACCCCAGCTTTTCAAACACTCCTCTGGCCCCAGCTCCTGAGCAAGAAATCACATCAGCTGGATCACAAGTGACACGAAAAAACACTCCAATCTGGTTTATTTCAAAAGGGCAGAGGTCAAGACAGGGAAATACTCAGAAACTGCTTATCTTTCCCTAGATACACCTGCCCTCTGAGACACTGGATATTTTTGCTCAAGAGAGAGCTGGCTCCAGGCCATCGCACTGAAATGATCTCTTTTATCTGGCTCTTTACACTTCCCGCTGTGTCTGTGGCTCTGGGCTGCTAGCTGCACTGGCCACAGCCCAAGGATGGCTGGGTCGGACAACACCTGGGCCACTCTAGTCGATGTAGTAGACCTTGGAGGCATCGTAATAGGCACAGGTCATGTAGTTCATGTTCCCAATAGGCCACCAGTGGTTGGGGTGGTAGGTGGCTGAGTAGGCATGGGGCTGGGGTTGGACACAACTGAAGAGTGCCAGGCTCCTGTCCATGGCCACAGTGGGCAGATAGAGCTGCAGCTTGTCCAGGAGGTGACCCGGCCAGAAGAAATTGGGGTGAGTTCGCAGTGAACCCCTGGACCTCTTCGCCTGCAGCTTCCTGGAAAATGAGAAGATAGGAAGTTTGTCGTGGCAGACCCGCCAAGGCTGGGGCTTCTGCTGAGCAGAGCTAAGCAACTGTGTGACCAGAGTGGAGGTGTGGCACTGTGCCAAGCACTTCGCTTCCATGTGGTAGGTCCTGTTATGCTGTCTGCCCTACCAAGGAGGACGTGAACACCTAGAGAGGATACGTTATTTCCCCCAAAGCCACACAGCGAGCAAGTGGTAGGATGCGGGCTTGACTCCCAATTTGCTGCCTTGAAACCCAAAATTCTTTTTTTTTTAATTAATTAATTAATTTTTGAGAGAGAGAGAGAGCGCACGAGTGAGTAGGGGGCAGGGAGGGAGAGAGAGAGAGTGCAGAGCCTGGAGTGGGGCTCGAGCTCACCTGAAGCAGGGCTCAAACTCACAAATGTTAGATGGTGACGTGAGCCAAAGTGGGATGCTTCACCAGCTGAGCCACCCAGGCGCCCCCAAAACCCAAATTCTTTTTTTTTTTTTAATTTTTTTTTCAACGTTTTTTATTTATTTTTGGGACAGAGAGAGACAGAGCATGAACGGGGGAGGGGCAGAGAGAGAGGGAGACACAGAATCGGAAACAGGCTCCAGGCTCTGAGCCATCAGCCCAGAGCCCGACGCGGGGCTCGAACTCACGGACCTCGAGATCGTGACCTGGCTGAAGTCGGACGCTTAACCGACTGCGCCACCCAGGCGCCCCGGAAAACCCAAATTCTTAAGTGTACACCGTCAGTTCTCTCGAGGCATTTTAATGTGATGTTCAGCGTATAGCCTCTGGAGCTAGCGTTGCTGGGTCCAAATCCCTGCTCCGCCCCTTGATAGATGTGTGACTTTGAGCAAGATAATTAACTTTTCTGTACCTCAGTTTCCCCTTCTGCAAAGTGGGCATGCTAAGAGTAACTTTATAGGGTTCCTGAGAGGATTTAAATGAGTTAAAACATGGGAACACACCCACAGTGGTGTCTGCCTGGCACTCTAAGTAGTTTCACTGCCTCTCAGTTCCCGGGCATTGAGCCCTAGATACTGTGCGCCGCCATGCAACATGCAGAGTCCCAGGCACCTCCTCCACCGTGAGGCTGGTCCTCCCTCCCCTGACCCGCTTACAGAGTTGGCTGATGCTACAGACCTGGTGAACTCCTCAAACTCCTTAAAGTGTATCTTCTTGATTTTCTTTGGTGTCTTCCTAGTAGAGAAGACAGAAAGGTATCTTGTCAGGATGGGGGGAATCCATGTTAATGGGGCCTCAGGTAGTAGGTCAGAGGACATGGGGGTGGACCTGTCTAGTGAGTCCAAACCAGAGCTCCAAAAGGAGCATTTCTTCTATCTGGGGTGGGCTTGGTCAGCCAGGCCTGGGCTTCCAACCTGGCTGGCTGTGTGGCTCTGGGCAGGTCACTTCCCTTTTCAGAGCCTCATGTTTTTTATTTCCCAGAGCAGAGCCTCCCAGGGTAGCTGAGAGATGCGCAATGATCTGCATTGTTTGGGGGCCCCTGACTCTCACTTTCCCTGCCAGAGCCAAAGCCAGCTTTTGGAACAAGGGTGGTGAAAACTGACTCTCCAAATCTTGGGCCTGGCAGACATCACTCATTAATCACAGACGGCACTCTTTCCCAGCAGGCCTGCATCTGGCCTGAGAATCTTTGACAGCACAGTCCAAGTAGCAAGATAAAACAAATGTCCATCCCTGCCCTTAGGGACCTCCCTAAGGGACCTGCCCTTAGGGTCCTTAGGGACCTATCCCTTATGGCTGTGGCCTACCTAAACAGGGACAAGAGTCCCTTTCTCAGGCTCCCACCCACTCCCTAGGTTCCCGGTGCAGAAATGGATGTCAGCCACCCAGGGGCTGGCAGTCACTAAGTAATCAGAAAGGGCTCTCCAGGCCACCAGCCTTCTGACTCGTGCTCAGCTCTGCCTCCCCAGGGTTGTGGACAGGCCCCTCTGTAGGCCCAGGCCCATGCCTTCAGTCGAGATTGTCCTGATGGGACAGGTAAAACAACAACTATCACTGCTTCCAAGGGCTGACTATCTGCCAAACACCATGCTAGGAAGTTTATATGCATTTCTCATCTGATCCTCATTGTGTGTGGGAGGGGCTGTTATGCTCATTTAACAGATGAAAAGCTGAGGCTCAGACAGTGAAGTATTCTTGTCTGTTTAACCTGCAGCCTGTGGGATTTCCACTTGGCTCTGCTGTATCTCATCCCAGCTGTTCTGGCCATACCACCGCAGTGGGCAGCTGGCAGTGATCTAGAATGTGGGCAGTTCCCGGTCCCCTCCCCCCTTGTGGTCAGCTGGCCCCTCCTCATCCCACATTAGCCCCGTCCCTCCTCAGGGATGCAGGGATGCTGCTTGCTCTCCAATATGCAGTCACCCACGGATGCTGGCTCACAACCTGCCCATGGGTCACTTCCTCCCAAAGAAGGAGGTTGGTCTGAGGGCCAGAGACAGGCCCCATTGCAGAGTTCCTTTCTCCTCCTAATGCAAGCCCACCTCTTGCCAGAAAAGGCAGGACAAAGAAGGGACGGCCACCTCTGTCCTCTGTAGGGCCCCTGACCAGCCAACCCATGATTTGAGAAGGGGCCTATTTCCCTAAGAAGGCCCTCTTTTTAAGCTTTTGTAGAGAGGCTGAGATCACGTAGGATGTGGTTGGGAGCGAGGCAAGGAGGCTAACGCCCTCAGACACTGGAAATTGGCCAGTCCCTGGGGACCAGCTGGGTTGGACATGCTGGGCACGCTTGGCCACAGGCATTAGCACAACATGTCACCTCAAGTATGCTGGTATGCAAATGGCAGGGGGGAGAGAGGGGGTCTGATACTCAGCTTGTCAGTCTTCTTAGCCACAACATCGCTGAAGCCCTGGAACTTGAGCAGAGCCAGATTTGGACTGAAGATCTTCATATCTGAGTAGTAGCCTCCCGGCTGCCGGATTGGGCGTACCTGGTCCTTCTGGAAAATGATCTTGTCCCCTGGGTACAGCAGGGCTGTAAGCAGCAAGAGAAACGTGGCCTCTCAGTCCAACACCCCTCCCTGCCCTCAGCCTTTGGGGCAGAGGGGAGGATTTTTTTTATATATAAGTCCACATTTTTGTTTGCAAATGATTTTTCTTAGATATACACTTTAAACTTTTTTATGCTTTTTTTTTGATTTTTTAAAAAGTTTATTTATTTTGAAAGAGAGAGAGAGAGAGAGAGAGAGAGAGAGAGATGGGGTAGGGGCAGAGAGAGAGAATCCCCAGCAGTCTCTGCACAGTCAGCATGGTCCGTGCACAGCCTGACGTGGGGCTCGAACTACAAAGCGCGAGATCATGACCTGAGCCAAAATCAAGAGTCAGATGCTTAACTGACTGAGTCACCCAGGTGCCCCATTAAGCTTTTTATGTCTAAATGATTGTAGATTCACAGCAAGTTGTGACGTGCAGAGGGTCCCTTAGACTCTTCCCCCAGCTTCCCCCAGGGGCGACAGGGCACATAACCCTAGTGCAGTGTTAGGAAGTGGGGTTGGTACAGCACTGGTGTCTGGACTAGAGCTGTGGGAGCTGGTTTGTAACCAGGTCAGCCCTGGCCCCAAAGCCTGGGTGCAGTTAGGATGGAGTGTGCGGCGCCCTACCCCACTCTGCACGGGGTCGTGCTGGTCACGAGGCCACAAGAAGGAGGGGAGGTTCACCCAAGGCTTCACCAGGTTAACTAGACCTAGTTGATGGAGGTTTTCTCCTTGCTTAGAATTAGTCCCATAGATATCCTCAGGAGACTGCTCTAAGAAGTCGGAGCATAAAAAACACTGGCCAGGGGCTCTGTCTTCCTGCAGCCACGGAGCAGTATTTGTCCTACGATGATAACGCATGACTAGCTCACGTTCTAGAAAAAGTAATGGAAGGTTACAGTCCAGGTTATTAATGCTGGTTATCTGGGGTGGGGGAGGAGGAGAGGGGAGGGCAGGGACTGTGCAGATAAGAGGGGAGAGGGAAGGGGAAGATGCAGCATCAACATTTCAAGAAAAATTCTTTTTAATGTTTATTTAATTTTGAGAGAGACCGAGACAGAGCGTGAGTGGGGGAGGGGCAGAGAGAGACAGAGAGAGAGAGAGAGAGGGAGACACAGAATCCGAAGCAGGCTCCAGGCTCTGAGCTTGTCAGCACAGAGCCCGACACAGGGATCGAACTCACAAACCGTGAGGTCATGACCTGAGCCAAAGTCAGACACTTAACCCACCAGCATGCCCCGCATCAACATTTTTAAAAGATATACAGGATTTTTTTTTTAGCTTGTTTATTTATTTTGAAAGAGAGAGAATGAGCTGGGGAGGGGCAGAGGGAGAAGTGGAAGGATCTGAAGCGGGCTGGATATGGGGCTCGAACTCATGAGCCGTGGGATGTTGACCTGAGCTGAAGTCGGACACTTAACTGACCCACCCAGGTACCAATATACAGAATTTTAAAAAACTACATTAACGATATATGTATATATATCTTTAAAAATAACTTACATAAATAATTTTGTGTAAATGGAAAAGAAAAAGAGATCTATGAAAGGACAATCCCTAAAATATTAATGGTGCCAACTCAAGCTGGGGGAATTTTTTTTTTAATATTTATTTTTGAGAGTGAGTGAGCAGGGGAGGGGCAAAGACAGAGAGAGAGAGAGAGAGAGAGAGAGAGAGAGAGAGAGAGAATCCAAAGTGGGCTCAGAGCTGTCAGCATGGAGCCAGACTCTTGAACTCAAGAACCATGAGATCATAGGGCACCTAAGTGGCTCAGTCGGTTGAGCATCTGACTTTGGCTCAGGTCATGATCTCATGGTTTGTGATTTCAGGTCCCACATCAGGCTTTCTGCTATCAGAGCAGAGCCCACCTCAGATCTTCTGTCCCCCTGTCCCTCTCTGCCCCTCCCCTGCTAGTGCTCTTTCTCTCTCTCAAAAATAAATAAACATTTTTAAAAAATGCTTTAAAAAAAAAAAAAAAAGAGAGAGAGAGAAAAGAACCATGAGGTCATAACCTGAGCTGAAGGCGACACTTAAGGGACTGAGCCACCCAGGTGCCCCCAGCTGGGGGGATCATTATTTTTATGTTTTCAAAAAAAATGTAAGTGAGCAAGTATTATCTGTGAAATCAGGGGGAGGAAAAATGATAAAGCTATGTGCACTGGGGAGAGGGGAAAGGCCTTGATGTTTTAGAACATGGCCCTTGAGCTTGAGGCCTGGATTCTGAGCCCACCAAGCTCTAGTCTAGAGCACAGACCCAGAAGTCCCGATGGTTGAGTTTCTTTACTCATAGCTGAGCTGGCCTCTGTCAAAGAGACAGCCAATAGATAGTGGCCAGGAGAGCGGTCAGAGACAGACTCGAGTTTTTTCCATCTAGAACCGTCAAGAAGTAAAGGGAAGCCCACCCACGGATGCTGCTTTGTGCCTGTGAGTGTGAAATCCCGCTGGCAGGTGAGGTTCCCTGACCCAGCACCTAGCAAAAGCTAGTGGTGGTGGGAATCAGTTAGTGGCTCAACACCCTGGTGGGGACAGAGGAGGCGCATCCAGAGGAAAGACTTAACCCACAGGGCAGTCCAGGGTGCTGGCAAGCCTGCCTGCATTTCAGAAGACAGCTAGCTGCATTTCCAGCACGAGCAGAGACGAGAGAATATAAACAATCAGGGAAGATGCGGCTCGCTGAGGAAGATGGAAGGAGGGATGATTTGGTGAAAAGTCAGTGTTGCGAGCCGCAAGAGATTTCCTGTCACTGCCCTCCCAGACCAGGTGGGCAGCAAGTGGCCATGTACATGAGAGGGTGCCGTGTGCACAGGAGACAATGATCACTTAGGGTGGTTTGCCTGTGTTCCCGGAGGCATTTGGCCGTACGCTGTTGTACAGACCTGTTATGGGCTGAATTGCGTCCCCCACCCCTCAAATCATATATTGAAGCCCTAACCCTCAGAACCTCAGCATTTGTATTTGGAGAGAGGGCCTTTCAAGAGGTAATTAAGCTAAAGTGAGGCTGTGCGGGTAGGCTCAAATCTGATCTGGCTGGTGTCCTTGTAAGAGGAAATTTGGACACAAGAGAGGCACAAGGGGGCATGAGTGCACGGAGGGAAAATCATGTGGAGAGGCAGCGAGAGGGTGGCCGTCCATCTGCCAGCCCAGGGGAGAGGCCTGAGGAGAAACTGGCCCTGCTGGCACCTTGATCTTGGATTTGTAGCCTCCAGAAGTGTGAGAAGATAAATTTCTGTTGTTTAAACCACCTGGTCTGTGGTATTTTATTGTGGCAGCCCAAGCAAATTAATACAAGACCCATGGCCCTATACATTCTGCCCTTCTTTCCCCTTGTCTTGGAAAAAAGACGTAAATAGTCAGTTGTGACGGTGAACTTGTTCTTAGGTAAGTCACCCCATTGTCTGTGTGCCCCTTTCTTTGAAAGCCACATTTCCCAGTTTGGCCATGGTTCCTTCCTGTGACGTTCCTGTGGGAAAACCTCTGTCCTTTTGTGTTTTGAAAGCACAAAGAGGAACTTGCCCATTAAAGTTATAAATTCACGAATTTAGGACATTAGCATTGCTGTGTGATCGTTGGGGTTATGGGGCCCTCTCCCGTCCCCATCTCTCAGAAATACACACTCTACCCAGAGATGGGGAGGGTTCAGATCTGCTTGGATATATGAAAACACAATTCTCCCTCAAACAAAGGGTGAGACCAGTGTGGAAGTCTCAGGGCTGAGTCCTGTGGTCTGAGCAGAGAGCCAAGGCATCAGAAGAACTTGTCCCCTGGTGCATTCCTACCTCTGTGTTGTGGAAGAACCAAGAAACAGGGCTGGCCTGGGGAAGTGGTTGCAGAAAAGCCTGCTACAGCAGAGCAGTTATCGCCCCTATCACATGTCCCTCTTTGAAATTGGGACTGTTCCTTTCTGCTCAACTTCAGGGCTCCCTCACCCAGAACGCCTGTCCTTGGAGCTTCCTGCTCTAGAATGCTCAGCAGGCTCAGTTGGGGAACCCAGACCCCTAGACCTGTGGAGCCTGTGAACCTCCAGGATTCTAGAATGTAGAATCAAATGTAACAGCAAAACAGGCAGGGCTGCCCCTGCTCCTTCAGTATCCCCACCACAGGCCACAGAGGCTTGGCTGGATGCACGTCTGCTGGGGAAGGACAAACCTCAGGCGGAGCCATGTTCACTTGGGTTCTGAGCCCTCTCGGCAACTTCCCAAGGGCCAGGCGCCAAAGCTCTTACCTTTCACGAGGATGTCCTCTGTCAGTGGGAGGCCGTAGGACTCACAGAGCTTGCAGCACTGCAGGTAGACCAGAAAGTTGTCCCTGCGGGACTTGTTGATGAGCTCCTTCATCTCCCCATGGATGGTGGATGGGAGGCAGTGCTCATCAAAGTGCTTATTCCCGCTGCGCACCAGGCGGCACCGCTCCGTGTACTGGATGGAAGGGATCTTGAGCTGCAAGGAGAAGAGGTTGGCACCCACTTCCCTCCACCTTCTTCCCGACCAGAAGGCAGATATGGAGCCTCATCGACCTCTCCCCCAGGAGGGGAGATGGCAAAGCATGCAGGGTGGGACCAAAGTTCAGGCTCTGAAGTCAGTGACTTGGGAGAAAAATCACACATGGTCAAGGTTACCCCTGAAGGGCACTTGAGTGGTTAAGCCACGCGGTTCTGTGTGCACAGCCCCGTATGTGGTTGTGCATACATCACTGTATAACATATACAGTAGGGAACAACGTAGATGCCCTACTGAAACAACACATCTGTGTTTGGCTGCACAAGAATTTAAATTGGGCGCAGATATCTGTGCCTTTGAGGTGGAAGGCACATGTCAAGGATGGCAGAACAAAGTGGAAGAGGCCTGGGGAATGTGGAGCCACTTTTGGCCTTCTCATTTATTTATTTACAAGGAAACAAAATCTGTTTTTTGGCCTCTAACACCAGAATCAGCAAAGTACAGCTCACAGGCCACATGTGGCCCAGCACCTGTGTTTATAAAGAAAACTTTTTTGGAACACAGAGGCACTCATTTGCTTAGATGTTGTCTGTGGCTGCTCTTTGCTGCAAAGGCAGAACCGAGTAGTTGCCACAGAAACGATAAAGCCCCAAAAGCCTAACACATTTGTTATCTGGCTCTTTATAGGGAAAGTTTGCTGACCTCTGCTCAAATATTTTGGGTTTTCTTATCATGCAGCTGAATCAGATGTTAGTTGGTATAGCACTTACAATGCCTAGTATATTATATAATAATAATAATAATAATAATAATAATAATAATAAGTATTTAGGGGTGCCTGGGTGGCTCAGTCAGTTAAGTGTCTGACTTTGGCTCAGGTCATGATCTCATGACCCATGGATTCAAGCCCCACATCAGGCTCTGTGCTGACAGCTCAGAGCCTGGAGCCTGCTTCAGATTCTGCATCTCCCTCTCTCTCTGCTCCTCCCCTGCTTGTACTCTCTCTCTCTCTCTCTCTCTCAAAAATAAACATTAAAAATTTTTTTAATGTATTTATATATAGTATAATATTAATATTATCTGCCTTCCTGAAGGCAGGGGCTGTTTTGTTCTCTATAACACCTAAAATAGCGTCTGGCACTTTGTGGTCTCTTGATAAATATTTTTGGGTGAATTAATTCCCACAATCAGTCCTGCCTTCACTGGTCATGTATGTCTGGAGTGGCCTCTCAGTGACAGGCCCTGTACCAGGCATTTGGATTCCAGCCACAATGAAGACACGGCCCTCAGCCCTGGTCTCAGGATGCAAGGTCACAGTCAAAGGATGGGAAGAGAGGAGCTCCATATACTTTTGGAAACATGATCTCATTACATCTTCAGAGAAACCTTGTGAGGTAGGTGTTGTTTTTATTATGAGATGAGGGAACATAGGGGTAAAAGAGGGCCTGCTCCCAGGAGTTCCCCAGCTAGAAGGTGCAGCGGACTTGAACCTGAGCCTGCCTAGAAGCCAAGCGCCACGCCCTTCCCATTGACCGGGGTACCTTATGCTTCCGCCTCCTCTCACGGTACCGCTTGCCAATGTCCTCCATCTCCTCCAGAGTCAGGGGCCGCGCCTCCATCTGGGTGTCAACCACGGGCACGGTCAGCAGGTCCATCTTGCACGGTTGTGGGGCTAAATTCACCTGCTTCTTGGACAGACGCGATGGGGAAACTCTGATCTTGGCAGGTCTATAATCTGAAAGGAAGGAGAGCCTGAGAGGGGGCTCAGCTAAGGAATCCATCAAGCGGTTAACTCATGTGATCAAGCAGGTGCCGGCCATCCCTCTGCTCACTTCCCACGTGGCTCATCAGGCCACCTGAGACGGACCTTGAAGGTATCCCTTCTCTCCGTCTGCACTATGGCCTGCCCAGTGCAAGGCCACCTCGTGCCTCACCTGCACCACTGCCCCAACCTTGCGGTTGGCATTCTCATACTCTAGCATCCTGTCTCCACCAAACACTAAATAGGACCTTTGAAAAATATAATCACTTCATTCCCCTGCCTAACACTCTCTACTGGCTTCCCTCAGCACTTACACAAAAGCCCAGAATCCTCCTCCTGGTCTGCAAGGCTCTGCAGACTCTCGTCTCAGCTCAGCCTCCACGTGATCCATCTCCTCCTGCTCACCCCTCCCCGACTCCCCAGAGCCATCCTAACTTTTTTCTTCCTTTTTTAACTTTTTTTTGACTACAGGTGTATTTCTTATTTATTTATTTATTTACTTATTTACTTATTTACTTAATTACCTACTAATTTTTGACAGAGAGATAGTGAGCAAGGAGCAGATAGAGAGAAACCCACAAGGTACAGAGAGAAAGAGAGAATGAGAGTGGGGAGCCCAAGCTCATCCGATGCGGGGGTTCCAACTCACCAACCAACTCACACCTGAGCCGAAGTCTGAGGCTTAAATGACTGAGCCACCCAAGCGCCCCTCACCCTAACTTCTTTCTGTCCCCTGAAAACTTGCCCAAGTCGGGGCCTTTGCCTCTGCAGATCCCTCTGTCTAGGGTGCCCTTCGCCAGAATGGGCTCCTCATCTGTCACTCGGGTGTCAGCTCCCATGGCTGCTTTGCAGAGAGGCCTTCTGTGACCACCACCCCCTCACTCTGTCCTATTGTCTTCAAGGCATTAATCCCTACTAGACATCATCTTGCTTAACCCTTTACCTGGAAGCTCATTGAAGGCAGAGGCCTTGGCTTCTTCACTCCTGTGTTCCCAGTTCCCAGTTTCTGGAAGTATGCCTGGCACGTAGGAGATGTTCAACAAAGAACCGAGTGCATGAAAGCATCCCGTTGCCCCTGCCCTGGTTCAGGCCTGCCCTGTTCTGGGCTGAAATGAAGTCATGGCTCAGTCACCTTCTAGTTTTGAGACTGCAGACTGGTGGCTTAGCCTCTCTGAGCTTTATAGCGTCCTCCTCTAGAGCGTGAATTGTAGCTTTGACCTCCAGGGACTTGAAGGATAAACTGAGCTACCTGCTGTGGGTAAGGCTACCCAGCCCGAGTGCCACTGCCTTCTCTCATGAGCCTGCCACCCAAGAGTCTCGTTGACTCTTGATGCTGCTGCCCCTTTAGGCAAAGCAAAAGATATCCAAGTCCATTTACCCTGGAATGTTCTCTAGAGAAAAGGGTGATGACACTGAGATGGCACCAGGCAAGCAAATACTTGCTCCTGGCTTCAAGTCTATTTATTGGGAAATAATAGGCCCCAAATACCTTTGCCTCAAATATGCATCACGGCACACTGTGGTCATTCAATAAACAGCTCACGGCCAACTACGTGGATAATGGTGAGCTTTGGTAATTGATAATGAAAAAGCAAAAAGGTCATGGATGGGAGAGCAGGCCTAACTTGAGGCAGCTCTGAACACGAGCTGGACATAAAAGTTGCCAGAGATTATGACTGTGGGTAGTGATGTGTGCAGGAGGTGACCGGGGTGGGGGGGGGTGCTCAGTTTCCCTGGGACTCTGAGAGAGGCAGAGACACTGCCTGGGGGTGACGGGGCCTCTGCCCAGTGGCTTGATGAGACTAGAGGTTGGAAATTTACGCGCTGCACTATGGGGTTATATTTGGGGATATGCTATATTGTTATTATATTTGGTTACATTTGGGGAGGGCTCTGGAATGGTGGATGGAAGTTTAAAGGAGGGCTTTAATTTTATCTGGAGTTGTTCAATTTTAATTTTTTTTTTTTTTTACACCACAATGCCACTAAGCTACAAAGAACCATGATGCGCCCTTGTGTTGTGTTGTAAATTCATAGCCAGCACTATGGCTAGTCCATTTCTAATTTGCCTCCATGCTATGTCTGGACAGATGTGGTTCCACAAGCACATGGCTTGGCAAATGGAACTTGAGCTGTTGCACAGCTCATACAACTGTTCATAGCAGCCCTGCTAATATCCCTGATCATAGAATATCAAAGTAGGCTTTCCAGTAAACTCTAAACATGTGCTAATTCCGGTTTCCGACTTTTAGTTAACTTTTTATCAATAAAATATAGATTAATAGCAAGAAGACTTTGGACCCACATACAAGATCTCCGTCTATTGGGTAAGCCTTGGTGGGTTGAAACCACCTTTTGAGAATCCTCCTTTAAGGACAAGGGCTGCATCTCATTCATCTTTGATGGACATGGTAGCTAGGCATTCAAGAGAATACCTTGCTCCTTAGTTGATCACTGGTCTTGGGGATTCCAGAGTCTTGGCCCACCCATGGTAACCCAAAGCTGGAGAACACACTCAGGAAGTAAACCAAGGCTGCCTCCACCATGCTTGCTCCCAGGATGGGGAAGCGGAGGCATGGGGGTGGGACTGGATACATACGCTCCCTTGCAGTTGCCAGGGTGCTTTTCTGATGAGCCAGACACCACTGCTTGTAGGTATTGACTAGGATATCTGTGGTGATGCTGTAGTCCTTTCCCAGAGAGCTGAGATAGATCACAACATCTTCCACCTCCTGGTTTTTCAGAGGGACTCCAACCTAAGGAGAGAAGAGAAGCCACCGAGGTGGGCAGGCTCCAATCCAAACATCCTACCTGTACGGTCAAAGCTTTACCAGCCTGGCCCTACTTCCCCTATCTAGTTTCATCCACAGCCACTCCCACCTTGGCAGGAGCTCAGAGCCTCTTCTGAGGCCCTGAACACACCCTGCACTTTCTCACCCCCTGCCTTTACTCAGGCGCTTCCTCCTTCTATCTGAAGAACTATCCCTCTTTCAAAACCTAGTCTAGATATGCCACTATCTTTGCAGAGTCTGCTACTCCTTCCTTCTGGGCTGCCACCCCACTCCATACCAATCTCAACGATAACTTTCCCACACTGGATTGGAAAAAGGATTTCATGCCTACCATCCTTGCCCACGAGAAACACATCAGCTTTCCTTAACTGAAGAAAAATAAGATCAGAAGTACAATACACATTACTCTTTCAGGGATGGTAAGCAACTTTATAGGAGTATAATGCTTGCCAGCAATACTGAATATTCAAGAAGGAAAGTGTTTAAGGAAATATAATTTTCTTCCTCAGCTTCTTTAGACTGTAGTCAGTGTTCACTGGGCTTTCCTTAAAGAGGGTCAGAACTCTCCTGGTTCTAGAGGACTTCATGTTTTCTCTTTTTGGTTATGATGATTAAAAACCCTATATATAGGGGCGCCTGGGTGGCTCAGTCGGTTAAGCGGCCGACTTCGGCTCAGGTCATGATCTCGCAGTCCGTGAGTTCGAGCCCCGCGTCGGGCTCTGTGCTGACAGCTCAGAGCCTGGCGCCTGTTTCAGATTCTATGCCTCCCTCTTCCTCTGACCCTCCCCTGTTCATGCTCTGTCTCTCTCTGTCTCAAAAATAAATAAATGTTAAAAAAAAATTAAAAAAAAACCCCTATATATATACGTATATACGTATACATGTACATATATATGTATATATATACACACCCTGTATACATAATATATATATTTAATGTTTTGAAACGTTGTTTAGGTAACTACATGTCGTGAAACAACAGTGTGAAAACTGGTGATGATTTAAAATCATAAAGACCTAGCAGGCAGCTTCCTAAAGTATTTCCAAGAGGTATCTTGTATTCAAAGCATATTAAGGCTTAATTTATCCAGACCAGAGGTCAGCAAACTTTTCCTATAAAGGGTCAGATAGTAAATATTTTAGGATCCATGAACAATATGATCTCTGTCACAACTGCTGAAATCTGTCATCATAGCATGAAAGCAGCCATGACAATACATATAAATGAGTGTAGCTGTGTTCCGATAAAAGTTTATTCACAAAAACAGAGGCAGGCTGGATCTGACTTCTGGGCCATAGTTAGCTGACCTCTGCTAGATCAACAGAACTTTCTGCCATGATGGAAATGTTCTATATCTGTGCAGGCTGATAGAGGAACTGCTCACCACATGTGAACACGAAGCACTCGAAATGTAGCTGGTGTGACCGAGGAAATGGATTTTTAAATTTTATTTATTTATAATTAATTAAAAATTTTTGGATAGTCAGTGAAAGTGTGGCCTGTGGACCAGTACCATAGACATCACTGGGAGCTTGTTACAATGCATCAACTTGGGCCCTGCACAGAGGTACTGAGTAGAAGCTGCATTTTAACAAGATCTCTATGGGATTATCTGCCAATGACAGTTGGAGAAGGTCTAGAGGGTTCTAGAGGCAAGACAGAAGGCCCAGCAATCTCTGTGCCCAGTTCTGGAGTCTGATGGGCAAGACAGTGATTCCCCAGGTACTGACTGGTTATGGGGTCGGCTCTGCAGACTTTCCACTCAGGGAGGGGTTTTCAAGATCAGACTCACGCAGGAGTGGTTTTAGGGGTCTGATGTGGCCACAAGTTATGTCACGTTTTCCGATCTGGCTTAACAAGTAACAAGGCTGATGGTTTGATCTACTTTTCAGTTGGTCCAGGACCTGGGTGGAGGCAGCAGTGGGGACAGGATGCATGCACGTCTTCCTCACTCAGGCCAGCCTGGAGGGAGCATGGGAGGCACTTACCGCCTTCAGAGCCACAATGAACTCCTTCCTAGAGATCTTCTGGTGCTCGCCCCCGTTCAATTTGCTAAATATCTCCAGGATCTTGATCTTGCGGCTGTGCAGGTAGGAGTACAAGGCTGATAAGGCAGAGGGCTTGGGCAACTGGAGCTGGGGCACCAGTCGGCGGGAGGGCCGGGGGCTCTTCTGTAAGAGGTAAGAGAGGGAGCAGAGGAGAGAATTCAGGGGAGACAGGCCACTGGAATGTGATTCCCAGAGTTAGACAGAACATGATTCCCAGAGAGAGAGAGAGAGAGAGAGAGAGAGGGGCTGAGCAGCTCTCAACAGACAGCAAGATGGAGTGCAAGGAGCACTGGATTCAGGGGTGCCGGGGTGGCTCAGGTTGTTGAGCATCCGACTTCGGCTCAGGTTGTGATCTCCGGTTCATGAGGTCAAGCCCCAGATCGAGCATCTCTGCTGTCAGACAGGTCCTCTGTCCCCCTTGTTCTCTGGGGGGTTGCATGCTCTCTCTCTCAAAAATAATTTTTTTTTTTTTTTTTTTTTTTTTTTAAGGAGCATTAGATTCAGGGCAAAGGCGTTTTGCCAGGGATACTTTGCATCTCTGGGCCTCCATTTTTCTATCAGAAACAACTGGGCTGGACATCATGAGAACTAACATTTCATTCTTACCCACATCTCTCCTGTCAAACACGTCAGGATTAAAATCACACCAGGCGATCAGTGCACCAAAACATATGCCCCTGCCTGGAACCAGATGGGGCTCTCTAATCCACCCATCTCCCAGCCTTTGCTCCTGCTCAGCCTCCTGCCCAAAACTTTTCCTTCTCTCTCTACCTGTCCGACTCCTACTCTTCCTTTACTTCCAGGTCATCGGGAATATTTCAGGATAATACTCCCTTACCTTGGTGCAGCACCTGACAGTTTACAAAGGGCCTTTCTGTTCCCTACTTTGTAGCTCCTCTGTGTTTAGGATCCAGCTCTATTAATGGCCAACTGTAGTCACCAATCTGATGTGTCTGCCTCCCCCATTAACATGTGAACATTTTGAAAGCAAGACAATGTCTTTTGAAGCTACATACCTCTACCTCCTATTCATCTGCTGGACAAGCCCCCCAGCCCTAGGCAGATAGGCAGTAATTGTTTGATGAATGAATAAATGATGCTGTAAAATAGGTATTAGATACTACTTTCTGTTTTTACAAACGAGGAAACAGGCTGAGAAAAGTGAAATGACTTGCCCAGGGTCACACAGCCTATAAGCAATAGAGCTAGGTTTCTAATCCAGGCCCAGTGTTTTGGTTGTTTTTTTTTTTAATGTTTTTTAAATTTATTTTTGAGAGACAGAGACAGACAGAGCACGAGTGGAGGAGGAGCAGAGAGAGAGGGAGACGGAGAATGTGAAGCAGGCTCCAGGCTCCAATCTGCCAGCACAGAGCCCGACGCAGGGCTTGCACCCACGGACCATGAGATCATGACCTGAGCCAAAGTTGGATGCTTAACCAACTAAGCCACCCAGGTGTGCCCCCCCCCCCCGCCAGGCTCAGTGTTTATTCATAGACACTGTACTGCTGTCTGGAAAGGGTGTGATAGGCCTAGGAAATTTCGGTTTGGACTCTGATTACACCAAGGACTGAGTCTGGCACCAGTGAGACTAAAGTAGTAGTAAAAATGGCAAACATAGGAGTGCCTGGGTGTTTCAGTCAGTTAAACATCCGACTTCAGCTCAGGTCATGATCTCACGGTCCGTGAGTTCGAGCCCCGCGTTGAGCTCTGTGCTGAGAGCTCAGAGCCTGGAGCCTGCTTCAGATTCTGTGTCTCCCTCTCTCTGTGCCTCGGGACTCTCTCTCTCTCTGTCTCTCTCTCTCTCTCTCTCTCAGAAATAAGTAAATATTAAAAAAAAAATTTTGTGATGGCAAACGTAATATTCAGTGCTCACTATATGGCTGTCACTGTCCTAGGCACCTACTCCATTTAGAAGTCACAGCAACCCTAGGAAGTCAGTACAATGGTTATCCTCATTGAATAGATTGGGAAACTGAGGACCGGATCATACAGCTAGGAAATAGCAGAGCTGGTTTAAACCCACGTTATCTGATCTCTTATCCCAACTTCACCTGAACTGGGAGAAATTTCAAGTGTTTCCATTACCAGAAAATGTCACAGAGAGGTAAGCACTGGGGGACAAGGGCTTTGGTACTGACTGCCACCGACTACCTCTATGGGGCTGGACAATTTATCGGCCTCGTTGAGCCTCTATTTCTGTATTTATAAAAGGGAGTCCTCCTTTTTCTTCCAGCCTCACAACTGTGACCCTCACGGTACCACCACGAGCACCTGCTTGGCACATATAGGCCCTCAACAAACACGTGTCAGTGAACAAATGAATGAGGAATGCATATTTTTAAAATGCCCCATAGATGGCATTCCAGGAGTTATCCCTCCTAGGGTGGTTTTAAGATATAGTCACAAATTCTTTAACTCCTCCCTTCTGGGACGGAGCCTGATTCCCCTCCCCTCGAGTGTGGACAGTACTTGGTGACTTGCTTCTTACAAATAGAATATGGTGAAAATGATAACGTGGTTCTCCTGAAACTCAGGTTGCCTGAGATGAGGTCATAAAAGGCATTGCAGCCTCCTCTTTGCTCTGTCTCTTGGACCATTCGCTCTGGGAGATGCTGGCTGCTATGTGATAAGGACACTCAAGCAACCCTATGGAGAGATCCCTGTGGCCAGGAACTGAGGCCCCCTGCCAGCAGCCACGTGAGCAAGCTAGCTTGGAAGCGGATCTTCCTGCCTCAGTCAAGCCTTGAGTTGTCTATGGCGCAAGCCAACAATTTGAGATGAGGGCCACCAGCTAATCTCTTCCCAGACGCCTGACTCTCCGAAACAGTGGGGGTAATCAACATTTGTTGCTTTAATGTTTGGGGGCATTCGTTATGCAGCAATAAATACCCCATACACCTCCTTTTGGGGGCTTCTCTTTGCTCCCTTTGGAAATGAGGTGAATGACCCCTATCCTGACTAATCTGAGGGAATGAAAGGACAGCATGCCCCTAACACCTTCAGCGTCTTCATAAGCAAATGGGGCTACTCACCTTGGTGGCTCTGATAGTAGTCAGGTGGTCTAACAACTGGTCCTCCTGCTCCTTCTGGATCATGTGCAAGACCTTGGCCTCTGAAGGTGTGAGGCTGGGCTTGTTCTGAAGCCACCTCTCTACGCTGCCAAATGACTCCAGGTCCTGGCGAAGCTTCAGCCTCCGGCTCAGCCAGGTCCTCACGTCATCTGGCTGGCCTTGGATGTCCCCAGCTCCCAGGGCTTGGAAGCTGGAGATCGGCTCTGGGGGAGTCTGGGTTTGGGCCATGAGATTAATGGGCATTGGAGCCTCTTTTTGAGGCAAGATGATGACCCGCCGGCGGCTCTGAGGCAGGTGGAAGTCCTCCTGCTTGAACTGCTTGAAGCAGTGGGTGATGACCAGTTCAGGATCGAAGGTGGGGCCCTTGCTGGCATTTTCGTCATCACTTGAGGTCTCAGACTGGCAGAGCCCTTGGGGAAAGAGGGCTAAGAGGTGAGCTTCTTTCAGGAAGAGGACTAACGGAGTCAGGAAGGAAAAATGCTACAGCACCAGGCTGGGTTCCCAGGCCTGGCGTTATCATTGCTTTGCTATAATGATGAAGATAATCACACCTAATATGATTGCGCATTCCTGATGGCAGGCATTATGCTAAGGTCTTTGTATGTTTTCTCTTGTTTAACCTTCTCAGATTTTACTCTTCCTCCACTCCACCCCACCCTCACCCCAAGGCTCCTTATCGACAATCAGAATTTATTTATTTATATATTTATTTATTTATTTAAAGTTTATTTATTTATTTCAAAAGCGAGAGAGGGAGTGGGGGGAGGGGCAGAGAGAGAGACCCAAGCAGGCTCCCCACTGTCAGCACAGAGCCTGACGCAGAACCGAGCCGAAATTAAGTGCCCGACACTTGACCGACTGAGCCACTCAGGTGCCCCCAGAATGATCTTTTAAAAAAATGGCATCCTGATCTGGTCTCATCATCCGAGCAGAGGCTTTGAAGCAGAGGCTTTGAATGCTTCAGCCATGTCCTGGCTCTGCTGCTTAGTGGCTGCATGTACTTGGGTAAGTCACTTAGGCTCTCCGTCTCAGTCTTTCATGTGTAAAACGGGGGTAAAGATGTTACCTACTTTACTGAGTGGTGGAGATGGTTAGAATCAGCCCATCTTAGAGCTGCTTTGTTCATGGTAAAGTGCACTGTTATTTTTTAATGGACTTGCTCCTCGCCTATTTTGAAACCCTCCTATCACTTTCCACGGCCCTCAACATAACATCCCTCCTCTGCCAACCTTTCCTACCTCATCCCTTGCCTATCCTTCTTTACAGGTCCCACACGCCTTGACCCTGAATGATCCCTGAATGGTCCAAGCACATCCCGCCTAAAGGTTTTGCATGTGTTGTTCTATCTGCCAGAATGCTCCCTCCCCCCTCCATCCCCTTAAAACTTATCACAGGGTTTTAAGTTGGGGGCTGCAAATGGTGACCCTCGTGGTGAATGAGGCTTGGGGTCCTGTTTCATTTGACGCATTGGTCAAAATTTTCCACCTTGAGTTACTTTAGGCTAGGGCATGCCCTCTCCAGCTTGCTGTAGTCCCAAATTATTCTCTATGGTCTTTTTTTTTTTTTTAATTTTTATTTTTGAGAGAGAGAAAGAGAGCAAGGAGGGGCAGAGAGGGAGAGGGAGACAGAGAATCTGAAGCAGGCTCCAAGCTCTGAGCTGTCAGCACAGAGCCCAAAGAGGGGCTTGAACTCACGAACCAGGAGACCATGACCTGAGCTGAAGTTGGACACTCAATCAGCTGAGCCACCCATGTGCCCCCATTCTGCATTGTCTTACATGCAGCTCAGTTCATTTATTAAGTGCCTGCTTTAGGCAGACATTTGTGTTTGAAATCTCTGGTATAATTACTTGGTTGGTGTTTATTTTTTCAATAGATTATGGACCTGGACCTCCTCTCTCTGGTTGCCTGCTGGAGCCCCAGCACCTCCACGTGCCAACATACAGTGGGAGCTCAGTAATTATTTGGCGAATGAGTGTTTGTCAAGTGGACAGACTATTTGACATCATAGAGATCAGCTCTGTGATTATACCACTTTACAGAGAAGGGCACTAAGGCCCAGAGAGGCCCAAGGTTGCACGGTGGTTTAGTAGCAGAGCTGGGATACGAATTCTGGTTTGCCTGGCCCCAGAGCTTTGTTCTTAGCCATTAATTGATAAGACCACAGGCTGCCACCTAATCCCACTGAGTCTCAGTTCTTTTATTTCTAAAATGATAAACTCTGTTCTAAGTACCTCCTGAAGCTGTTATGAAGATCAAATGAATAACAGATATGTGAGTGTTCTAAAATTCAGAAGGGATATAGCATTATTATTAAAAGTATTGTCACCATCATTCCCCTTCTAAAACCCACACCCCCTCTGCTTTAAAACCCTTTTGTTGCCTCCGAAATAAAATTCAGTCTCCTTAACCTGGCCTCACCTGACACACCCACCTCTGCCAGCCTAATGGGCTCCTTCTCTTATTCTTTCTGACCTCACCCTGTATTTGTACCCAAACTGAGCTGACTATGGTTCCTTGGTCACCTCATCCTGCCCCCGTGCTGTTTCCTCTCTCTGGAATGCTCTTGGAGACTTAGGTCAGGCATCACCATCCCCTGAAGCCCTCCCACCCCCTCCCTCATATCCCCTCTGGTTTCCCATAGCCCCCGTGCTCAACCCCATCATAGCATTTACCATGTTTTTTCTGGATGAAGATGCTTTCTGGGTCTTTCTTTCCCAATAGCCTGTGAGTTTTCCAATGGCAAGGACTGTGTCTTAGTTCCCATGTATCCCTGGTGCCCAGCCTGGCACAAAGTGACCATTCAGTCCATTTGTTAAGCCTCCTTACAATGCCTGTGTTTTTCCTTCATGGTCAGAAAATAATGTGCCAGGAAATAATACATCAAAGTGGACGGAAGTGAGCACTTCTCAACAAGCCATGTGTCATTTCTTTGAGAACAAGATGCTGGGTACAACTGAGAATGTAGCCATTTATCCAACCAGCATTTACTGAGAATCATCCAGTAGATCCAAACGAGGCTGGAAACCCAACCGCAGAGCCCTGGCATGGAACAAGGTGGGGCAACCAGAGTGGTATGCCCTCAGTCGGGGGAGAAGTGCTGATGGAGAGAGTCGGGTGGTCATCATGAAGGAAGAGGCATTGACATGTGCCTTCAAGAATGAGTCAGAGTGGAGGGGTCAGCGTGGGGAAAGGTCAGGGGTGGAGTCTGAGGATTTGGGGGTTACTAAATAGTTCCACAAGTTGAAAGTACATTGTGCATGAAGGAGGAGACTAATGGGAAATAAAGCTGGAGTCATCTTGAATGCCAGGTTAAGGGGTTTAAACTTTACCCTGTTGACCTGGGAACACACTCAAAACATGCTCCTCCCTGGCCTTGCCACTGTCACTTCCGCCCACCCTTGACCCCAAATCCATGATCTTCCCTTAGCTAGAAGGGTCACTCCCCGCCAAGCCCTTCAATGGCTTCATTGCAATGGCTTCTCAGTGCCCTTAGAATAAACAAGCCCCTCCTACAATGGCCCCCACCACTGCCCTCACTGGCACCCTGCTCCCCGCTCCTCCCTGATCTCTCCCTGCCCCCTCCCTCTGCTCACTTCACTCCAGCTGCATGAGCCTGCTTTCTCTTTGTCCAACCCTCCTAGCTCTGTCCTGACTTGGTTTTGGAATTTGCCATGCCCTATGAAGGGCATGGGATTCCCCAAGATTGCTGTTGGCTGAGTCCTTTTCACCATATGGTTCTCAGCCCAAGTGTCACTCCCCTCAAAGTCACCCTGACTCCCCTATTGAAGGTCGCATGCCCACTATACCACGGAGCTTCCATTATAGTGATCTTTGGGGTTCTGTATCCATTTACAGAAAAGTGAGGTGGGTAGAGACTGTGTGAAAATGTTCCCAAGGGATTGTGAGGACAGCTTCCAGAGGCCAACTAGCTCCATTGCCTTCCCAGGTCAGGGATCTCTTCCTGAAATGCCCCTGGCAGATTTTGTCTCTGCTTGGATATGCCTCTGGTTGACAGGGCGTTCTTTCCTCACATTGTGGATGCCTGATTCTGATTCTTAGAAAAGACTTCCTTATATTAACCCAGATTTTGTTTCCCTGGAAGTTCTACCCTTTAGTCCTAGTCTTCCCCACCGATGCTCCAGAAAACGCATTCCTTCCCTCTTTCCTGGGACAGCTCGCCAAGTATCTGGAGACAATTCAACTCTCTTGAAATACTGTTTATTTTGGCTCTGATTCAAATCTCTCCCTCAATTCCATCCTACCTCTCTGGCCACTTGCTACTTGGGCCCTCTTTTCCTGCCCATCCCTTAAAATTGGTGCCTTCTAGGTTCATACCTGGGCTTTCTCCTTCTCCTTCCTTCTCCCTTTTCTTCTTCTTCTTCTTCTCCTCCTCTTTTTTCCAAACAATCTCCTCTACTTTCATGTTTCTGTGGTCTTCTATATGCTGAGGACACCCATACCAATATTTATGACTTGAAATTAGCTCCAACTTTCTACATACAGTTACTCCTAAAGTATTTCCACTTGGATGGCCTACAAGGATCTCAGTCTCAACCAACCAAGACTGCACTGGCCTCCATGTCCTGTTCTCACTCAACCTGTTCCTCCTGGTAGGTTCCCAATCCCTGTGAAAGGCACCTCCATCTCTAGGTCACCCTAGTTACCAACCTGAGCATCATCTTTGATTGTCCTTTTCTTGTTCCCTGTTCAGTCAGCCCTCAAATCCCCCTAGTCCCCTCTAGCCTGGCCACTCTCCCTCACCTCTCAGTACCTTTGGTGTGCACATTTCAGGCAGCCCAAGAGCTCATGATTCTGGCTTCAGCCTTCAAGTCTGCCAATTCATTCTGCATTTGCTGATAATCCCAATCCCAATACTGCCATTTCCAGTAGCTTCTCCATCTCCTACCTCCCAAGATCTTTCATGATCTTGTCCCTTCTGACCTCTCTCACCTCTCATCCCCGGCAATGCTCAAACTACTAGCAGTTTCCTGAAGATACCGTATCTCTGAGCTTCTCTGCATGTGCTTCCATTGGCCTGGAATGCCTTTCCTCCCCTTTTTGGCATGGAGAACTCTTTATATCCTTAATTTAAGCCGAAGTGTAAAGAGCTCTTCCAGAACCTTAGAATTGTTCTTACCTGTCCACTACACTCAGCAGACCTCTTATTTCTGGGTGTCACCCCCAGACCTGGCATCCACCCATTCTTCTGTAATTATGCGTTTATCTGCCTATCCTTCACCTCTGAAGTTGCAGGGTTTTCCCACAGCAGGCTATCACCAAACACTGCTGGTTTTCTCCATGCTTCTTCTCCAGTACCCAGCACATTAATATCCGGCGGAGAAATGGGGCGCGGCGGGCGAGACAGAGGGCCGTGGATGCCTTTCCCAGGCACACGGGTTGGACCCCTGATTTCAGACCACGGCAACTTGGCCCACTCTTCCAGCCTGGGAATGGAAATCTGAGAAATGTGCACGACCCGCCCCCGACCCCCTGGCAACCCCTCACCCAGAGAGAGTACGGCACAATGAGATATTCGCCTCCCGTGCTTGCCCTCACCCCACTTGCACGCGTCTGCACGGGGCTGAAGGCTTCCTGGAGGCGGCGCTGCTTCCCGGGAACTTACCGAGCAGCGACAGGTACAGAGCCTCAGACGTTTCGTACGAATCTTCCATGGTCGCAGCGTCGGGAGCGGGTGTTGAAGAGCGTGTGTGTGTCTGTGTTGGTTTTTGCTGGCGTGTCAGGGTACCAAAAAACAGTAATCCCAAACTTTGCAAGAAACACTCAATGCGCCCCGAGTTTAGAAGCAACTGTTGCCAGGACTACAGACGCCCTGCGCTGATTGGTTGAGCATTGCCACGCTCCTGCCGTCTGTGGGACGGAGGCGGGTACGGGGGAGCACCCTCCCACTCCCGATTGCCTGAGAGTCCTGTTCCTTTTGTGGGTCCTGGGAGGCAGTCGCAGCGTGGCAGAATTCCTGGCTTGGAGAAAGACAGGATTCTTAGTATGGCCCAGTGGCCCCTGAATCTGGAGGAATAAATCACAGGTTTTCCTGAAAATTGTACGATCTTCAGCCGGTCTCCACATATTTCATTTTTATCCAAGGAAGAGGCCCTGCCTCCTCCGGAGGGATTGTAGGAACCCAAGAGAATCTTGGCCAAAAAGAGGCCTGTGTTTTTGATAGGCATTGCTCCCTAATGACAGGATGCCACGGTTTGGAAATAGAGAACCTGATACCAGGAATATTAAAGTTAAAATGTCCATCAACTGATAAATGGATAAACAAAACATGCTCTATCCACACAATGGAATATTAGTCACAAGAAAGAGTTAAGCACTGATGCATGCTACAACACAGATGAACCTTTAAAACATTACGTTAAGTGAAAGCAGCCAGACACAAAAGGTCACATATTATTTTATTTGTAAGAAATGCCCAGAATAGGCAAATCTATAGACACAGAAAGCAGACTGATAATTGCCAGAGGCTGGAGGTGAGGTGTGTGGCTTTGGGTTTGACTATTAACAGGCATGGAGTTTCTTCTTAATGCGTTGCAAATGTCTTAAGAATTAGTGATGATGGTTGCAGAACATTGTCAGTATACGGAAAATCATTTAATTGTATATTTAAACATAATTGATGAATTTTAGATTATGTGAATTGTCTCAATGAAAGAAGTTAAAAAAAACACTTGAGTGCTTATTCTGCATAAAGTACCACCTTCACTGAATTGCATTATCTCTGTGACCCTCTCAACCTGAGGTTGTCATTCAGACCATCCCTATGAGTCACGTTAATGTAGCATTTATTTATTTCAAATTTTTTTTAATGTTTATTTATTTATTTATTTATTTATTTATTTAAAAAAAATTTTTTTTTCAACGTTTATTTTATTTTTGGAACAGAGAGAGACAGAGCATGAACGGGGGGCGGGGGCGGAGAGAGAGGGAGACACAGAATCGGAAACAGGCTCCAGGCTCTGAGCCATCAGCCCAGAGCCCGACGCGGGGCTCGAACTCACGGACCGCGAGATCGTGACCTGGCTGAAGTCGGACGCTTAACCGACTGCGCCACCCAGGCGCCCCAATGTTTACTTATTTTTGACAGAGAAAGAGAGACAGAGCATGAGCGGAGGAGGAGCAGAGAGAGAGGGAGACACGGAATCTGAAACAGGCTCCAGGCTCTGAGCTGTCAGCACAGAGCCCAACACTGGGCTCGAACTCACAGACCGCAAGATCATGACCTGAGCAGAAGTCAGATGCTCAACCGACTGAGCCACCCGGGTGCCCCTATTTATTTTTTTTTTTAAGTTTATTTATTTTGAGAGAGACAGAGACAGTGGGAGCAGGGAGGAGAGAGAGGGGGAGAGAGAGGGAGACACAGAATCCGAAGCAGGCTTCAGGCTCTGAGCTATCAGCACAGAGCCTGATGCGGGGCCCAAACCCACAAACCGTGAGGTCATGACCTGAGCTGAAGTGGGACACTTAACTGACTGAGCCACCCAGGTGCCCCCAGATTTTAAGTAATCTCTACACCCAACATGGGGCTCAAACTCACAACCCCATGATCAAGAATCACATGCTCTACTGAGCCAGCCAGGCACCTACAGAAAAGGCTCTACAGAACCTTTTCATCTTTTTTCATCTGTCCTCCAGCACAGAGCTTTGCACTTAGTAAATGCTACTTTGAGGTTTGTTAAATAAAGATGTAATGGGACACTATAAAATGGACGTTTGCCTTGGGGGGTGGCAGGGATGTGGGCAGTTTTCCCATTCTCTGGTCAAAATTCAACTCTCTCTCTAAAAACTAAAACTGGCTCACTAATGTGGAAACAACCCACTAGCCCTGCAGCATATTCCACCCTACAACACAGGTAGTTTCCCTAACAATTTATTTTTCATTTATTCAATCAATTTTGTTTTCAAATTATACCTTAAAATGGCAATTGGTAATTGAGACTTAGTGACTTGGGATTTTTTTGTTGTTGTTGCTTGGTGAGTTCTTTCTAAGGTAAACGTTTCAGTATTTGTGCTACAACATTATGATGCCTGTATTAAGAACAGCACAAAACTTAAAAACTTTAACAATGGGGTCAAGGTGCATGAGCCAGAAGCTGATACTCTGAAACAAAATGGCAGGCAGATAATCACAGGTTATCAATTGGATGCTGGGGTCCAATCTCTAATTACTAAAAGCTAGCACAGAGTCATCAAGAACACATGATGACAAAAGTAACTTACTGTTATCTTTTTTTAGTAAAAAGACTAATTGCCTATTATTAGCTGCCTATTATACCCTGTAATATCTTTTCTTACATTTTTGGCTGCAAACTCTTTGATTGCTTCCTACATAACAACTGTGTAATTTCATTTTTATTGAAAGAGAACTGAAGTCTAATCTTTCCTTAAGCAAGATTGATAGAAATCTGCTTTGTATAATTGAGAGTTGACAAAGATTTTTTTTCAACTTCAAATCATATTTTATTATTGGAAAAGTCATTTACATTTTTAGGTTTCTTGTCACATAATTTATTTTTTAAAAAATCTCAAAACATGTTCTAGTACATTCAGTAACAAAGATCTACCAGTGTTACACATATTAAGAAAACCTGTATCATGTTTCTAGTTGGACTAAAATCTATATGCCTGTGCTTAATGGAGCTCTTAACTTACTTAAGTACAAAGTAAGGTATAAAAACTGAGTTTGAAAACTTCAAACAATTTTAAGACAGACTTAATTTTTCATGATTTTCCCAAAGCCAGTCATGATATTTATTTAACTTATGGTCTTCAGGGTGCACCTGGAAGAAATACAACACATTAGGAGACAGAAGTTAGTCAGAAATACATTTTTAAAATGGGCCTTTCAAAGGTACAGTAGGGGAACAATACCTTATTGTAATATTCCTGCAAATTATAACCTTTAACCTAATTAGATTCATGAGTGCTTAAAACTCTATCTTACATTAAGGCAATCCTTCACAAAGTGCTTTCCAATTTAGTACTGATCTTTAACATGACCTAGCACGTGGGTTGGGGACAACATGAGTCAAGTATTAATAGGCCATTTTTCAGGAGAAGGTTATAGACCCTGAGAGTTATCACAATAAATGGTGGAGCAGGGATGGGCTTAGCCAGATCTACTGGCTGAATGCTTCAGGGTGAGTCACAGACTAAGAGGGCAGTGTACCACGCCACCTGGCAGTACCCACCAGCTGCCAGGACACCCGCTGGATGTCTGTGGACAGGGGACACTCATTTGAATGGGTAGCTGAAGTAGGGCCCAGTTGCCGTTAAAGCAGTCTGGGACCACTAGGAGAAACCCCCACAAGCATATATTCCAAGTCCAAACCTGCCTGCTTTCCTTCAGTGGTGTCATTTTTGAAGGCTAATATGACTATGACAGGAGAAGAACCACATCAGGCTTAGAGACCACACATGAATGGGAATGACATTACAGGGCCAGAAGTGATAAACTGCTGGAGGTCAGTCAGAGGGCCACACCAAGGAGTCTTTACGGAGGTGGGAGTGTCTACAGATCCTCTCCCTTCTGCCAACAGCCCCAAGCCACCACTGCCCCTCAAGCCTGGAACAAAACTAGTTGTGATGGTGGCAGCACATGTGCCCAAGAAATAGTTTTGGCTATTGGATGGGTGTATTTTGTGTCAGAGACAAAATGTGCTGGAGATGTTATGGCTGGGGGTGGGCCTCACCTGCTTCCACTCATTGACGCAGAAAATTCGGTAAGAATCATTGCCATATTTGCCAATCCCGTGAAGCTCAATCGGGTACCTCCACTGCTTTGTCAGATATTCATCTGCAAAGATAAAACCTCACTTATCAGGTCAGCTTCTAGAAAAGATACTTTCCCCAAATATGTAGTGATGCAGAGCTGGATGGTGAGAAGGGCAGGAAGGGACAGCAAAGAGTCTTTCCTAACAATCCCAGTTCTGATGGCTCTTTCTTCTGAATTCCCACAACACCCCTGTCTAAACCTCTCACCTGCCACTTAGTAACCATTGTGATTTTGTGCTAACTAGACAGAGGTAAAGTCCCTGAGGTCAATGGGGCCTTCTGCTTTGCTGACTTCTTCATCCTTCCTAGATGGCCTGCCCCAGTGCTGAGCAAAGATTTACTGCTTGGGTCAGTGGGAGACTGTAGTTTGGGGCAAGTGGATTGTTTTTACATGCTTTTAGCCCTTGAGCTGAATGACCTCTATTAATATAGCATCCTAGAACATTAAAGTTTAAGGTTTGACTCTCTTAAATAGGCATAGTTTATGTTCTTTCCTTTGGGTATATGGGAAAGTACCTGAGAACTTGATAATGGTTTTTGCTCGAAGATCATAGAGACCAAGAGGTTTAAGAAGTTCTGACACATCTCTCCAGTCTGCGGTTCTTGCTACCTCAGCTGAAGGGTACTTCTCTAGAAACTCCCAGAGCACGGGGATTGCCATTTTACCTGGGAAGTAAAAGTAACTGTGATTACAAGCCTCCTGATGGGTTGTTTTTAAGTTCAGGTATTTCCTCTCTAGAAATCTCGTACAGAGGGTTTTTTGTTTTTTGTT